GTGCAACTCGACTACGATGGTAATTAGTAGTCTCCGGACAACATTCCAATGTAACAAAACTGCCCAGAGCTACCACTACCTGCAAGGTGTTTTCAAACAATACAATTACCAGTTACTTTTCACCTTCCTATCTTCTCATCAGATTTTAAATGTTTCCTCCATTCTTGCGACTGTTTCTTATAGAAATCCAGATCCAATGTGTTTCAAGTTCATTCTAAAGGGGTTCTAAATCTCTGGAGGCAGGGTCCACCACAAAGACTTGTGTGAGGCCAGTGAGTTCTGAGTATTATTGGGAATTTATTATTTAGTTTAGTTTAGGAGACTCTAAGAAACTTAATTTATTAAGTGCCTACTATCTGCAAAGCACTGTACTAGATAGTAGGGATATGAAAATGAAACAATAACATTCCCCTGCCCTCAGTGAACTTTCATTCTATTTGGAGGACACCACATGTATACAATTAAGCATAATACAGGATAGAGTGTGACAAGGGAGAAATCCAGAGGGTCTGACAAAACAGAAGGCATGTAGCATATTCTAGAAGTGACCCAACCTTCAAGGCTTCAAACACAAAGGAACCCAAACGAAATGTACCAGAACCACACCCAACCAGATTCCTCAAGCAGACCAATATATACTTGTCTTTTAGGGTGGAGGTGGAGGAAGACTGTGAAATGTCTGGGCACAGTAAATATTTCTGAAAGTTCTATCATTTTCTAATGTATTTAAAAGGTTATAATAATTAGTTTTCTCTGAATTTTTGTGCCAGCTATTTAAAAAGGACTTAGGTTTGAATCCAGGCTCTGATACTTTTTGCAGCAGCTTAAAAGAGTGACTATCTGGGCCCCCATTTTGCCATGGGTAAAACAAGGAAGTTTTGATGATTTCTACTCCTTCTCCCAGCTCTATATCCTAGGATTCTGTGACTATATAATAGCAGACAACAGCCAAAGCATGGCATACAACAAGTCTAAAACCCTTTAATACACCAAGAGCCTGTGTTTTTACCAAAAGCAGCTGTTTCCCTCTGCTGATGAAAGGCACAATCCCTCTTCTTCTGCCTCAGCAGAAGACATTGTTCAAGAGCTGTGGCCAAAAACGTCACCCACCTCCAGCTAGCCCTGTGTTGGAAATAACAACAGCTCCCATATAAATGGCACTTGAAGACGTGCCAAACACACTTTTAATATTCTTATTTGATCCTCACCACAACCCTGTGAGATACAAACATCCCCATTCTACAAATAAAGAAAACAGGCTCGAAGAGGAGGTTAAGTGATTTGCCCCAAGTGTCTGAAGAGTATCTTGAACTCAAGGTCTTCCTGACTCTAAGCCCAGATCTCTGTACGTTAATCTCCACATGCCTGGGATGGTCTTCAGCCAAGAGACAGTCCACCATCAAAGCCTATCTCACTTGGCAAGACTTAGCCAAAGTTGGCCTTCACTGGCCTAATCTTAAGAATCCTTACACTGGGGTTAGACCAAATACAATTGTATACAACGTGTATCAATACACACTGACAGTGGAATAACAGAACTGCCATTTAAACCATAAATCTAAACCACAAATATTCTAAGTTTTCAAATTCTGTAGAGGAAAAATTCCATAATCCTTTCCCTTCAAAAAGCTAAGTGCTTTCTCTGATGGTCTGCTGGCCTAGCTACATAATTTCAACCCCTATCCTAATCAATATTGCTCTAGAAAAATCCAACCTACTTCTAGGATAAGGAGATGTAGTTTAATGTACTGACTTCACAATGATGCATGTACCCCAAAAGGTACGACCAGATCCCCATTCAACCTTAGAACACATAACCGAAAATACAATCATTGCATAGTAAGCTTTCGAGAAAAAAAAAAAACTGAATTCAAGGATTTCTAACAGTTGAAAAAAATATCTATTTCAGTCTCCTTCCTTTTGTAGATGAGGAACCTGAAACCCAGAGAGGTAAAGTAACTTGCTCAAGTTCCTAGGTAGTAAGAAAGGCAGGCTTTGAACACAGGGCCTGCCCCCAATTCCTGTGCTTTATGTGCTGCTTAAGACAATATCCTTCTGCTCTTATATTCAGTCAGAATTCTTGATTATTTCCTTTGTAATATAATTGTGGCCTTTATTATTTATTCCTTAGTGATACTGAAATTACAGATACCGATTAGGACTTTCAATTTCATAACTTAAATTGTTTTATAGCAAAATTATCTCTGGTAACCCAGGTATTGCAGCTATGCTTCCATGTGAATATTTGATGATTTTAATATTTATAGAATAGAATCTTTCTGACAGAGAAGTGATGGGCTTGGGGTATAGACTGAGATATTTTTTAAGACACCAAAGCAGGAATTTGTTTTTCTTAACTATGTTCATGTTACATGAGCTTTGTTTTTCTTTTTTTTTTCCAATGGGTGGGAAGGAAGAAAGTAATGGAAGATTAACTTTTTAAAAATTAACTTAAAAATACTCATGGAACAGTACATAACAGGTGAGTTACTATACACACTGGTAATTATCTCCTTGAGGTTGTTGTTGTTGTTGAGTTATTTGGGGCTTTCTTGGCAAAGATACTGGAGTGGTTTGCCATCTTCTTCTCCAGCTCATTTTACAGATGAGGAAACTGAAGCAAGCAGGGTTAAGTGACTTGCCCAGAGTCACACAGCTAGTTAAGTGTCCAAAAGGCCAGATCTGAACTCAGGAAAATGAGTCTTCCTGACTCCAGATCCACCACTCTATCCACTTTGACACCTAGCTGCCCCAAATTATCTCCTTTAAGGGCTTCATTTCACAGGATCATAGATTTTAAAGTTGGAAGGGACCGTAAAGATCACAGATACAACCCCTTCACTTTATATGTGGCACTCATGAGAAGTCAATGACACACACAGCTAGTCAAAAGCAGGGCTAAAATTCAAACCAAGTCTTCTAATTGCTAACTGATAATATCAATATGACAAAAGTATTTCTATTTCTTCCAAATACAAGTCGGGATTGTGGGAAAGATCAAATGTCAATGGGTCTTAGCCTATGGAGTTCAACGACTTAAAACCAGGATTGAAAACTATAAAAGAGCCCATAGTCCCCAGGAAGGGTTCATGAACACCTATCTCAGCTCATAAGCAGAGAGTAAACTACCCAGTATACGGAAGATGATATTTTAAAAGTCCAAGAGCAGAAGGAATACAGAAACAAGAGATTCAAACAGCATCAAGCCGGTAAAAGTAAGATTAATGACTGGCTTTGATGTGTTAAAAAGGAATTTATTATATCTAGTGCTTCTCCAATACAATTTAAAGTTCTTAAATAATAAGTTTGCTGTATATTTTCATTTTAAGAACTACTGTTAGAAGTATTTAAAATTCAACTAAGAAACTTCAAAACTTTATATAAAATTACTCACTTTTTTCATTTTCTCTGAAATTCTTAATCTCCACTAAATCAAATGAATGCATGGCTGCCATAATCCTCTGTGCAACATTTGATAGCGGCATCTTAGAGAGGTCAAAGCCTACATTTCCCTCATAATTTTCCATATTTTTCATATAAATCCTAAATATAAAACAACATCTGTGTATTAATTAATGAGACAGTAGGATTATGAACAAAACAGCTAAATTACTTGAGCCAAATAAATTTGTATACTAAGCCTATTAATATCACTATCCACAGGATATATGTCAATTAGCCTCATTATATAAACAGGCCACTAAGAGATTAGGATAAAGGTTAAATAACCCAATTATGACATATAATGTGTCAGTCAGCTGCACAGCAAAAAAAAAAAAGTATTTTTCAGTAATTTAAGTTTTAATCTAGTGCTCTACTCACTAAATTTTACTAGCTGAAGTACAAAACAGCTAATCTTCAAAGAGCTATAGAAATATAGATAACATAAAAAGCATTTACATTTGAGTTTGTGTTTCTCTCTCTCTCCCCTCTCCCAATGTATTCTACACCCATCATGCCAGGTACCAACTGCACATTTGCTTCAGCTCATATTGCTGACCCAGATGGATAACTAAAGATAGGGAAAGATGCTAAAGTTGCCATGGAAAAATCAGCCATCTATAGTCAGCAAAATACAATTCTAAATGGTGCTAATGTAAGCTTGCCAAAAAGTTCATATCACAGTACAATAGAAGGAATGCTGCATGTGACATAAACACATGTGTATGTCTCTGAGCCTATTTTCTCATCTGAAAAATGCAGAAAATAGCTGTAGTACTTACCATACAGGTTTACTGTTGGGATTAAAGGAAATAATGTATGTAAACTGCTTTGCAAACTTTAAAGCATTATATAAATGTCAGTTCTTATTTTTCCACATTGTTAATATGGAATGTTGTATGTGTGCGTATTTGATTCCTTAGAGGAACACAACTGAAAACAAAGTTAGGAAATACCATAGAAGGAAATCTCTGGAGATGTATAGAAGGATGGTTATTTTAAGTTTGGGAATAACATTTATTGATTTGGGATACCAAGATTTACTGTTATAAATTGTTCAAAAGAGATTAGGATCACAAATCTACTTATTTAACTTTGACTAAAACGTTAATAACAATTTTTCTTTTTAATAATGAGCAAGGATAGTAACAAAAAATATTCAGGTTAAAAGATCTATACATATTAACAGAGTCTACCTCACACTCGATTTAACTCTATTTTCTCATGATTACAGCTTAGAAATTAACAGTTCCATAAAGACTAAAGAAAAAGCTAAAAGAACTATGCTATTATTCCAGATTAAAAACAGATAAGGAATATTCCTAAAGACAATGAACGCAGATAAGGTACGTTCTTGAACATTGTGACTGTGCCTACTCCAAAATCTATAAAACCACAAGGAACCCAGTAGATATAAAAAGTGAGCATTCAGTGTTTGTGATAATGACAACTAATATTCTTTGAACTGTTTTAAAAGACCCCAGGTAAATGTTAAATGCTTTCTAGGTTATTTTAATTGTTTAAAATGCTATACTGGAATCCTTTAATATTACAGCGACCCTACATATTGAATTTTACTTCAATAGAATGGATAAAAGGAGAGAACAATTTGATATATATTCCCTGAAGAATTCCCTATATGGACTTTTGAGATTTATTTGGGAGCCCTGTTTTAAGCCAAAAGAACATTGTCAGTATCTGTACTGTTCCATCAGTTCCATAATGCCTATCAAACATTAAGATGCCAAAATGTGTGAGCCCCAGAGTCCTTTCCCCTATGATGCAGGGTGGACACCAGTTATATGAAGGCAGTCACTAGTCCATATGAATGATAAATGCAAACAGGATTATTTTATCATTACCAGTGCTAAATTACCAACATGGCAGCCTCCTCTTCAACCTCAGCATCATTCCCAAATTCTACAATGAGAAGCAGTTGTGACGAAATGTAAAAAGCAGACTTGGGTTCAATGTCTAGCTTAGTCCTTTACTAACTAGAATCCCTGGACAACTCACAACTTCTTGAGGCCTCAGTTTTTCCATCTATAAAACAGAGATAATAATAATAATGCTGTGCATTACATACCTCAGTACTGATGTGAGGATCAAATGAAGTAATGTAGGTAAATCACTTTGTAAACCATCAAGTGCTACATAATAGGAACTGTAATTATTACACTTATAGTGGGTGTTAACAATAGATTCAATAAATGAAAACTGTGTCACAGCAAACTGAAGAAATGGTTCTACTGTATACACCAAGGGATATTTCTGTAATGCTGACTTGAATAATCTTCTGATTATTTTAAATGTTTAATTTTTCCATTTAAAAAAAAAACAAAATGAGAGAATAAAGAAATTTAACTGAACATTATAACATCCCCATTACAATGTAACTGAATGCTTTTTTCCCCTTGGGGGCAAACAGAGTAAGGCCACCTGGTACTCCTTTCACTAGGCAAAAGCTCCTCTCCTAAAATCTGCTAGTGCTCTGGACCAGCATGTTGCATAAGGAGAAACAAAAAATTGCCCCTCCTGATATGTCAGAATAGTACACATTTTATATCATGAATATAATACTGCATATCTGGTTTTCAATGATTAATTTTCAATCTTCAAGACCAATAGTTGTAATTTTTAACTGATGCTCCAAATTCTCTACAATATTCTGTAAATATTCTTTATCTTTGAAAAAATACACATATAATTCTCGTTCCATTTGATACAGTTTATCAGTTGCCAAAATTCTTCTCTTCGCCTTTACATTAGCAAGAATATCCATAAGCAGATGATTTAGCTTTTTCAAATGAGAGTCAACTTGATGAAACTGCTCCTTTAATTCCTAAAAGAAAAATATACATACCGTTCAGTTACATGGAGCCTAGACATAATGCTTATTACAAAACTTAAAGGGAAGCAAGTTCAAAGACTTAACTGTTAGTCCCACAATTCTTCAGTGTAAACTATTTTCAACTACAAATACTTGAAAATTATTTACTGATTATAATGTACTCTAATTTGGATTAGTCAACTTTTGAGGCTCACAGACTAGAAACACAGAGCTAGAAGGGATTGTAGAGATCATCTAGTATCAAACCTTATATTTTAAAGATAAGGATACTGAGGCTCACAAACGTTTAATGATTTGCTCAAAATCACAGTTAGTGGGAAAGTCAGGTTTAGAACCAAGTCTCTTGACTCCTAGTTCAATGGTCTTTGCCCTACACAGCTTTGTCTACTTGATGAGTTATCCAAGGCAAATCCTCTTTTCAAATACTTATTTGAACAGTATTTCATATCATAATCTATTGCACTTAATGAAGCTCTTTACTGCCATTAACATAATTACACAGAATCACAACATCGTAGAAATGGAAAAGGTCTTGGAAGTCATTGTAAGGTTCATATCCTCCTTAAAGCTTAAGTACTTTCTACAACATTCCTACAAGTGGTAATCTAACATATGCCTGAGGATGACCAGTGGCTTGACATTTCCCAAGGTATCTCATTCCATTTTTAGACAGCTCTAATTGCCTCTTAATTCTAGTCTAACAGGAGCTGCTGACATGCATCAAATTAAAATTCCTCCAAGCTTAAATATGCAGTCTTCTAGCGACTAGTCCTCACTTCTCCCATCTTTACAACTCATTCACCCTGCTCCCCACCACTAGTTCATTCTTGTCTATTCCACATCTCTAATTCATTTCATTTTGTATTCCAGAATATACTTGCTACCTTTTCATTCCATATTTATCAATAATTTTTCACACTGTTATTATTCTTTTACCCTATATTCCCTCAGTATTTATATATTAAACCTGCACTTCAATATATCATTTTGGACTTGGCAATTATTTTGCAATATATTCTTTGACTCCCTCCCAAAATTCAATGTAATCCAAATGTCAGTAAATTATGATCTCATACTATTTTGCACACATAAGCTACATTCTCTTAATTGTAATGTAAACTTTATGGGTTGGTTTCTTTCATACACTCCAATTAAATAGTACAGAATTTAAGGAAGCACAAAAAAGTTTCTACAAAGTTTCCTTCCTACAAAGAAGGAAACTCTGTAACTTCTTGTCAACTTAAAATATAAACTAGTTTTCTAATACAGTGACTAATCGCAAAAGCAGTGATTCTCAAGCTTATAATTCTGTGATTCTACACTCCTGACCTCATCTTAACCCTTCACCACTGCCAAATAGGTGCTCAGGAGGTCTACAGGTTAGGTCTTTACAACCCCTTAGATGCAGCCATATGATCCTTCAACATGAGAAAATAAAACAATAGAATAGCATTCTTAAACACAAATTGGCAGAATAGAATACTGGAAACAGCTCTGGATTGGATGTCAGAGCAACTCTATTTGACTCTCAGCTGATTTACACGTGTGGCCTTGGGGAAGTCACTTTACTTCTTGTGGCCTTACCTTCCCCATGCAAAATGAAGAAGTTGGACTAAATGGCCTCTAAAGTACCTTACAATACTAAATCTAAAATTTTAATACAATCTATATTAAAAAGTCTCCTTTGAGAACAACTTTGACAAACCTAAATACACAAAAAATATAAAATTTAAATTGGAATTTCACTTAACATGTCTTCTGATGTGTATGAGAATCTTAAGCAATTTACTAAAACAACACTATTTTTTTAGATGCTCTGAAACTTTTTATTTTATTTTTTAAAAAAGACAACAATAATTTATATCATTAAACCAGAAAGCTGAACAACCTTCTTCCCAAACCCCAATGCTGAGCATAAGTACTGGCCAGAGAAGATGGTCCATGGCTCCACACTGCTCCCCCTGCCTGGATCTGTGGGATGTTACAGACCCCGAGATCCTGTCCTTTGGTGAGGCTGCCCCCAAGCCTATGTCTGAGGAGTGAATTCCAGTGATCTCTTTGGAAAGGAGATAAAAAGGGCCCTTCTGGTCTAGTCTTCTCCTAAGCCTGGGAGCAACTCTGCTGTTTCCACTGTGTAAAGATCCACCTGGGTCCCGGAACCTGACATCCCAGTGGCATCACTGCTTGCACAAGAAGCTGGGAGTCTCTTATTAGCAAATAAATAAAATATTAAGGGCCTCTTACATGCAGAAAGCCCTGTGTAAAGCCAATACATACCTGATCACTGAGATAAAGCTGGTTTCCTCCACAATACAAAGTATCACAAAGCATATCCACGCCATTATTCAGTTTGGACAGAAAGAGAGAATGCTCTTGAGCAGCTATTGCCAGTTGATCTCGTACAGAAGAAACATCTTGTTTCAGTTTCTGAGCCACTTCTTCCAGGCCTTCATATGTTCTGAACAATTCTTGTTTCTTATTCTCCCCTTCTAAAAGCTGATAAAGCCTAAATTTTTTAAAAATTATCAAATCAATAGGAATACAATTGTAAAGTCAATGTTTTCTTAAATGTAGATCATATTAGGGACTATTTTGAGGATGGCTTTTAAAATAATCAATTCATCTGTTACTGAATCAGACTAAATCAAGATAGCTATTACTAAATCAAGAAGACTATATTACACTACTCAGCTCTACACTATTCTAAATAACTGTAGTATATGAATACCCAGTTTCCATTTTCTACCAAACCTCAGATGTAATTGTACCCCTCTTTAAACACTTACTAGCTGACAACAGGCTAATCTCTTAACCTTAGCCTCAGGCTCATTATTTATAAAATGGGGATAAGACACCTGCATTAACTCCTTCACAACAGCACGATGAAAGTACTTCGCAAAAATTCGAGTGCTATATAAATGCGAATTATTATTATTATTATTCCTATTCTGGACAAACTGGCTTTTGAGATACAGTAAAGTGAGCTGTCCTTTCACAAATAAAATTTGGCTAATTCCTGGGTGAGGCAGTGACTAGAGAAGACCTGAGTGTCCAGCCTCAGATATTTACTATGTGACCCTGGGCAAGTCACTTAACCCTATTTCCTCATCTATAAAATAAGCTGGAGGATTAAATGGCAAACCACTCCAGTATCCTTGCCAAGAAAACCTCCTAAGGAGGTCACAAAGAGTCAGATACAACTCAACAACAACACACTGCTGTACAAAAGATATTAAGTTTTGATGAAGCATACACCAAGTCCACTTCCAGACTTCAACAAGCTTCTAAGAAAGGTAGTGTGCTTCTTTTTAAGTGGGGATGGAGAAAACAAAGGCAGTCAACTTCCAGGTAAATAACTATGAAGGCCTTTCCTATCCTCTTTCAAAGAAACAGAATTTGTTATAAGTTTGGGTTTTTTTTTTAAGGGCTAGTAGGGACTTTAGAGAACATGCCAAAAGAGGCAGCTCATGAGGCACAGAAAGTAGAGGTAGTTTATTCAGGGTCACATAATTAGTTAGCAAAAAGGCCAGGACTAGGGTAGAAATTAACAATGCTTTGCTCTAAATAATTCAACCTGTCTCCAGTCTGCATGAAGCAAAAGATCTAGCAAGATTTTTATGACAAACTCTTCACCAACAATTAGAGTGGAATTACATTTGGATTCTAATATCTCAGTTCTCAGTCTGCAACATGAAGAAGTTGATATGGAACGAAAAAGAACCATGAAAGGATAAGCAGCTGGACTAGACCAAAAATACATACTTCTCATGCTAGAAATGACAATTTTGAGGGCATTGAGGGATTGATTCTTAAGGCCCATGAGAGAGGGCAGGATATTAAAGCCTTGGAAAAAAATCTGAGACCTTGCCTACTTTTCCATCTCTACAAAATGTTCACATGCATAACACATACACACACACACACACACACACAAACACACACATTTTTATGATGGCAAGAGATAAAACAGGAATATCTCTGCCAATTCCAATGGTATAAACAACACTCAGGTGAGTAAACTCCTTCTACCAATGAAAGTCACCACTTCTTTGAAACCTCTTGGAGAGTTGCCTATATCAGTGGAGTTAAACTCAAACAGGAAGGGATCTCTGGATCCATCCTGCTGTATACTAACTTAGAAAACTACAAATTAACATTAACTATGTTGTGTTATATCTTATTTTGTTAAACATTTTCTAATGACACTTTTCTCTGTCCAGCTGCACTGGCCTGTAGGCCACAAGTTTTGTAACTTGGCCAGCACCTCACAGACATGACTTAAATCTTGCTGCCTCTCATGAGAAAAGAACAGTTTTTCTATAAATAATATTCTATAGTAGATTATCTTTATAGTCAGACAATTAACTGAAAGATATAGAAAACATGAAATTCCACTGTTTTTTCCTATAAAAGGTCCCTTAAAACATCAATGAGACAGCATAATCATGACATATACCTATGAGTAGAACAATCCTTGGCATCAATAGTATTCCTTGGATGGGTCTGCTGAGATATGGATGGGTCAGCTAACATTTCTAATCGCTGATGCAGTATAGTATTACTTTGACTAAGTTCTTGAGTCAAGCTTTCAAGTTGCCGGTGAGTATCCCGATGCTTTCTCAATTCTATTTCATATGCTAGCTGCAGAAGTTCAAAAGATGCCTTCTGTTTTATCAGCTGATTAAGAACTAATTCTTGTCTTGATGTATAATAGTCTTGTTTAGCAAGCTGAAGATCAAAATCACCCTTTACAACTGGCATATTCAATAATTGAGCATTTTCTTTTACCACAGCAGGCAATGTTTTATTATTCAGTTGGGTGATTTGTTCTTCAAGCTTTAGTATCTCACTGTTGAAAGTAGAAATTTCAGCCTCTAAATCTTCTTTGCCAATAGCCTACACAAAGAAAAGCAATATACTTATAAATCTTTAGGTACTTCAAAACCAAACATTTTTTAAACTTCTCATCTTCCATTTTGATTTCCAACCTATGCCACCACTTGGTGTGTGTTCAGGAAATGAAAACTAATTTTAATATTAAACTAAAGCAAATATAATTATGAAGGCAAATATACTGCCAAAAAGAGTCATGCATTCTGAAAACAAATTAGAAAAAAAAAAGGAATTGCAGAAAAGGCTACTTTGATACTGAATGTTTACTTTTAAAATTGTTTTGTTAATACAAACAGTAATACTACAAACTAATAACTAACAAGGCCTGCCAAGCCCTGTTTCAATTAAGAGACATGATCCTTTGTAATCAATATATTAATTATATGCAAATGGGACTGGCTAAACATTTTAAAATACTTTGTTCTCTGATGTGAAGAAAGAATTCTCCCAAGAGAGCTAGTCTCCTATATCAATTAACTGATAATAATACTTTTTTGGACAGACATTATTAGAACCTTTTATGGATGTTTTTGAATATAGTTACTATCTTAAAAAACACTGACACATTAAAACTTCTAGTAAACATACCTACACATCCTGCTACTGTTTAACAAAGGTCACTGCAAAAGCGGAAGACCCATAATGTACAATTTCTAAAGATAATTACTTTTTTTAAAGGTAAATTCCAGTTCATCCATATCTGAATGCTTTCAAATTCCAAATTAGTAGAGTTCAAATCAATGAAACTTGAGATGAGTTGTCCGCAATACTTCTGGCTTCAATTAATAAAGGGTAATCAACTGTCGATCACTTTGTAAAAATAAAGTGACAAAACTCAATGCCTAAGGGGTTGCAGAGAGTAAGTATTCTCACATACTGCTGGTGGAACTGCATATTAATAGAATCTCCTTGGAGAACTGGTGGTACATATGAGTATACAAAGTAAAAGAATTATCATAAAGAAAAGAGGGTGTGTGTGTGTATATGTGTGTGTGTGTGTGTGTGTGTGTGTGTGTGTGTATGTGTGTATTTCTGATTACAAAGAACTGGAAATTACTTAAATGGTTAATAGTTTACAAATGGCTAAATAAGCTATAGTATATCAAAATAATGGAATATACTACAGTGCCATTAAAAATGACATTTGAGGAACCTAAAAAATTTGTAAAGATATTCCATAATGTGAAGCAAAGAAAAGAGAACAAGAATAATATGTTATGACCATATAAAAATAAAAATGTCTATAAAAATATCAAAATTAGCTAACAGAAGAGAAGATAAATAAACACATTGAAACACACCATGTAGGAGTTCATTTTTAACTGTGAATGGATATTTATTTGGTTCCGATGTTTAAAGTTAAGTACATGATCACTATAAAATTTCCAAACACTGGCATATAGTGTCTATTCACTAGAAAAATTGGCAATAAGGAAATACAATTGTCCACTATCTCCCCTTTTAGGTAATTTGATAATATTCATTAGACTTTTCTCCTTAAATGACAGGATTAATTTTTCACCTTACCTTGCTAGTCAGGGTTTGAAGAGTCTCCTCTGCCCATTTTATACGTGACCGAAGGCTACATTCGCTTGCTTTCAATTGAATTAATTGATGTTGGGCACAAACATAAGCCAGCTGCAGCCTAGCCATCTCAAGCCGTCTCTCCTCATGGCATTCATTAGTATCATCATCACAAATGGATGGTGTTTGTATATCAAAAAGCTGAAAATTTTCTTCATTTGAACTTTCAACTAGCTCCTGTATACCTTGAAAGAAATGTTTTTTGGTATACAAGGTTAATGCTACTGTGCTTTGTCCTTCTTGGCTTAAGTATTTTTCCAAGGCAAGTTGAGATAAAAACACTGGTGGAGTTGTCCCTTGCTTTGTCTCTGAACCAAAGAATGATGTCAATTTCTCAACCCCATCAATAAGATCTTGAAGTTGATTAGTTATCTTGGTATTTACAGCATTTAGAAATCCTTGACTCTCCTTCAATTTTTAGTGACTTCTTCTTCTTTAGCATTTAACTGGAGTGATCTATGACTATTTGCTGAAGCTATTAATTGAAATTTATTACGACGCTGAATTTTTAGATTTTTTAATTTCTGAAGAGCTTGGAGCTCAGTCTCTAATTTTTCTAGCTCAATTCCTTCCAAACTAGATGTTTTCAGATCAGAAGTTTTACAAGTTTTAAGAACTTCATCCAATGCTTGTTCTTCTAGGATGGGCTTGCCAGATTTTTGAAGGGTGCTAAAAGCTTGCAGTTCTTTTTCAGTCAATACATGCTGTTCATTTACATTTCTACAGAACCACTCCAAAAAAGGTTTATTTTCAACAGTTTCAAACAACCAGTCAAAATCTTCTCCATTAAGATTATCACTCTTTGGATAACCAATTTTTTTTAAAGTTTCCACAAACTCATTTCCACAACTCATGTCTTAATTGCCAAAACTTTTTGTTATGAGTATGTTTTTATTATTCTGATTTTTGCTTTTAAAAATCCAAGCAACAAGCACACAGGATAGTGATTTCACTTTAAATCCATAGACAAAAAAAAATTTGCCTTAAAAACTACAATATTTCCTACGAAAAAAAACCACGTATTAGATCACAAATCAGTCGGCTGCATAACCAATTTATGTATTAATAGCATTTTGTTTTTGTACACTACTACTTGTACATTTTATATACTACTACTTATCTACAAAGTGGATAATAACTCAAATATTTGATGAATATCACAGATGAGGTTCACCCAAGTTAATTTTATCTTAAAAAATTAACCAAATAACCAAAATCTTGCTGTAGCTAAGTTTCTTCAAATATAACACAGGGATATCATTTACTAAATGCACATAAAACAGAGTTACTGAGAATTATGGATAGGCACCAGAATGCTATACAAATACCAAAGCAAGGGCAGCTAGGTGGTACAATGGCCCTGGAGTCAAGAAGACCGGAGTTTAAATCGGGCCTCAGACACTTGACACTTACTAGCTGTATGACCCTGGGCAAGTCACTTAATCCTGATTGCCTTGCAAAAAAAAGAAAAAAATATCAATTGTAGTACTACTTATAACTATTATAAATATCAAGCTAATCTATGTGTTCAAAGACACTGATCTTAGAGGGCATGACAGATGACACAAACCATTTCGGCTCCCAATATCTACATTACGCTCCAGTCAAAATGTAAGATCTTGATATAAAGTATATTAATTTTTTCAGACAATTTAAGTGATATACGATAGCAGAAACATAAAGCAAATTTTCACTTGTTTCATACTACTTTTTCTGTGAACCCCTTCCTGATTCCCTCAATTGTTTGTGTTCCCTTCTCAAATTACACCTTGTATTTACCTGTGTTTATTTTTTATCTCCCTAGGAGACTCTGAGCACATTAAGGACAGAAGGAGCTTCTCTTGTGTCTTTGTATCCTCAGCACCTAGCACTGTGATAGGAACTTAACACTGGAACTGAATTCACTACCAAAGAGAGTCCTATTTATCAAACTAAAAAACTCATTTCATTTAGGGAAAAAAACGACTAAAAAATTTCCTGCATTTTATAGTATAACACTATTAGAATTTTGAACTTGGACTGAACGGTCCCACTTCTCATTTGACCCCTGAAAGTTCTAAATTCACAGTATGGATCACAGTCCTCTACAATATCACTCCAAACTACAGAAAGTATCATTCTCCCCACCCCCCTCCCTTACACACACACACACACACACACACACACACACACACACACACACACACCCCACTTGGATTAAATGTTACAATAGGCACTGGAAAACCTAGGTACTACTATTCAATATGTTGTCCATAAAAACCAGTATCTCTAAAATACTGTGTGCTTAGTATTATAGGGAAAAGGAGGCTAATGACTTGAAATTTTCTCTCAACTTTTAAGTTCTCCAAATATGAATCATCCAGGAATTGAAACCATTTTAAAAAGTATATTACTTTGGGGCAGCTAGGTGGCACCAGCCCTGGAATCAGGAGGACCTGATTTCAAATCCAGCATCAGACACATAATACTTCCTAGCTGTGTGACTCTGGGCAAGTCACTTAACCCCAACTGCCTCACTAAAAATAAAATAAAATAAAATAAAAATAAAAAAAATATTACTTTGAGAGGCAGATAGGTGGTGCAGTGGATAGAGCACAGGCCCTGGAATAAGGAGGACATGAGTTGAAATCCACCTTCAGACACTTGACACTTACTAGCTGTATGACCCTGAGCAAGTCACTTAACCCTGACTGCCTTGCCAAAAAAAAAAAAATTATATTACTTTCAACAAATGCATTATTGAATGATCAGGAGAGGCTCTAGTTATGAAAAAAATATTTTTTTAAATTTTTTATAAGGTCTACATTTCAAAAGAACTGGCTATGTATCCTAAGACACCTTAGAATAAAAAATTTTCTTCATCAACATGTATGAAGTACTCAAAGCAGACTGCAGATTCAACAAACATTTACTAGGTTCCTGCTATGTGCAAGGCACTGTGCCAAAAACTGGGAATAAAAAGACACAAATCAATAGTTACTGACCTCAAGGACCCTACATTTTACTCAAAGGATAAAACTAAGTATACAAATAAGAAAATAAAAGGGAGGAGTATGGAACCTAGCAACTTAATGATTCAGTAAAAGAACTCTCTAAGAGTTGACAACCTAGCCAGGTTTTTTAGGGAAAGAAAGGTGTCTAAGAGACAGCAGTAAACAACTAAATGCCTCCCAAGCAAGAATAAGAAGCTGTGCTGTCACAAGAATCTGAGATGGGATGCTGAACTTGGGTTTGAGTAACACACTTAAATATCTTCTGCTCTTGAGGTACGTATACAGTCTACTTTCCCTGTCCTCGTCCCTTTATACCCAATGTCCACTGAGATAAAACACAAGCAGTCCTGTCATTTCTTTCCTCAGGGCCCCAGTGAACCCATGCCCCACTCCTAGAATTTGGGCAGTTTTGTTTGTTCACTCCCTCAAGCCCTCAGGGACCTTTACAAAAATATACAACAAAAAGGTAAATTTGTAATGACAACTGGATCAGTTTTAAAACTAAAACAAAATGTGAAATCTATGTGGCTCAGAAATTATATTCCAAAACTGGTTACCTTTCAACTTGAACTTTTAAAATTTAATTTATCCTTCACAAATGCATTTTCCCAAATCGTAGATATCGAGAGAGAAAAAATCCCTGTAGGAAGAAAAAAATTGGTTTAGTGTCTTTTTTTTTAGATATTCAAAGAGTTTTAATCTACTTACTCTTAAATGTTTCCTCACTCAAGTTTTTTGGTCACATATTAAATATTCTCCCCACAAGAACCTGTTGCAAATACCCTTAAACTATTATGTCAATTCACTCTACAGTTCTTTATTCATAGTCTATATGACATTTCTTATGTTGTTTCAAAGGATACATTTGCTTCTTAGAATTCTGTAATTGCAAGTGTAATCCTTCCTCTGGGAAATGTAAATTAATTGATATTACTTGCTAGAAAATATATACATGTATATATCCATATATGTGTGTGTATATGCACTTGTGTGTGAATACCATATATACATACATATATATACACATACACACATATACATACACACACACACACACACACACACACACACACACACACACACACACACATATATATCTACATGCATAATCAAAAGCCTTCCCTCTCCATTATGATCTTTATATAGTAGAAGTTTATTCTCCTTTGCCTACTGAATCTGGGTTACATTCAGATGTAGATGTCCTAGAGAAAAAAGTTTTAAGTATCTTAATCAGAGATACTTTACTCTTTGAAACCTAAACAGCTGCAAGAATATTCAGTGCTCATGGCTGGATTAAGCCAATATAATACTACCAAATTTAATTTACATTTTAATGTTATACCAAATTGCCAAAAGGATACTTAATATAACTTAATAAAATAGTAACAAAATTCATTTGGGAAAAGAACAAAAGATCTAGAATATCAAGGTAAATGATTAAAAGAGGTAGGAAAGAAGAGGGAATATTACTTCCAGACCTCAAATGAGATCATAAAGAAGCAGTTATCAAAACAATCTAGTATTGGTTTTAAAAAAAATAGAGAAATTAATGGAACTAACTAAAAATGGGAAAAATCAGAAACAACAGAACTTGATCCAATGTTTGATAAATGGAAAACACAGATTACTTAGGAAAGAACTCTCTATATGACAAAAAAAAATTTCTGAGAACACTGGAAAGCAGTCTCACAAAAATTAGGCTTAGACTAACATTTTACCCCATAAACCACAATACATTCTAAATGGATACTTAAAGATAAAGATCATACTACTAAAAAAATGCAAGAGAAGCAGATCATATACCTCTCACATCTATGGATAGGAAATATATTTTTAACCAAACAAGGAATAGAGTCAACTACAAAAGATAAAACAGATCTGATTACATGAAACTGTGAAGCTTCTGCACTAGCAAAATTAATGTATGTAGTTGATAAAAAAGGGAAGCAGTCAAGGCAGCTAAGTGGATAAATCACCAGCCCTGAAGTCAGGAGTCCCTGAGTTCAAATCCTGCCTCAGACACATAACACTTACTAGCTGTGTGATCCTGGGCAAGTCATTTAACCCCAACTGCCTCGACAAAAAAAAAAATACAGTCAAATGGGAAAAAAAAAAACTTAGTACCAAGTTTCTCTGATATGAGTTTAATATTCAAGATATATAAACAATTAACAGAAATAGATATAATCAATGGCCACTCCCCAATAGATAAGTGGTCAAAAGATATGAACAAACATTTCTGAAAAGAATTTTTAAAGTATTAACAACCACATGAAAGAATATTCTAACTCACTAACAATGAGAAATACAAACCAAAACAACCCTAAGTTTTCATTTCACATCCTGCAAATTTGCAAAGATGACCAAAAATTAATTAATTAATTAAAAAGGCATAATCAACGCTGGAAGGGTTGTGGGAAGATAGGCATATGGGTGCCCTCTCGGTAGAGATGTTCAACCATTTAAGAAAGCAATTCAGAATTATGCAAATAAAGTGGTCAAACTATCCACACCTTTTGACCCAGAGATTCCATTACAGGGTTTATGCCCTAGTAAGAAGGTCCTTACATACACCAAAATATTTATAGCAGCACTTTTTTGTGATGTCAAAAAATTGGAAACTAAGTAGATGTCCACTGACTGGAGAATGGCTAAAGAAATCGTGGTATATGGATGTAACAGAATATTACTGGGCTGTTGCTGTTCGTCCTTTGCTCTACAAGATGACCATGACATCAAGAAGGTGATGCCATGACAGGCAAGTGAACTGGATTTAAATGAGGGAGGGCTGTGCAAAGTCACCAGCCTCACTTTCTCCTCTGGAGCCATTTGGCTCCCAGGTGGCTCTGGATGAAGTGGGAGACCTTGGCCTTTTTAAACTAAGGTCTTTTAACAGTCCTCAGTTTAACTGAGGCAACACCCATTCAATGATTAAGGTTAGATAAGAAATGAGCCAGAGAATGGCCTCTTTACCTAGTCAAAAAAAGAAAAAAATCAATCTGGAAGGGAAAGACTCTCAGGGTTTCTGGCCAACACAGAAACAACTGCTATTTACATTCACTCTGAGCTAATCAGGGCCCATACAATGGCCAAGTGGGGCTTGGCCTGAGACCTACAGGTAGCCAATCAATGAGAGCCAGAGTGGTTTCCCTTTACAACTCAAGCTTTATTGGGGGGGGGAGGTTTCAGCAGTCAAAAGAAATGATGCATGTGAAGTTCTGCATGAACTAATGCAGACTGAAGTAAACAGAGCCAAGAAAAAAATATACACAATGAGTACAACAATATATATGGAAAGAAACACATACACATATACAATCAAAAGTTAATGTTGCAAAATTATAAAGAATAAATACGGCTTAAAAGAAAAGATATAAAAAGACACTCCTGACCCATCCATCTGCAGAGGTGGAAGGTTGGCAAGTGTTGCATATTGCACATATTTTCAGACTTTGTTAATGTATTTATCAGTTATGCTGATTTTTTGCTCTTCTTTATTTCATGTCTTTAAAAAAACTATTTGTTATTTGAGATGGTTTTCTAGGAGAGGGAAAGGGAAGTATACTGGGGGAAACTATGGTGATGTAAAAATCAAGCCATATCAATAAAAATTTATATTTGAGAGGGAGAAAGGGAGAGGGGGTAGAGGGGAAGAGAGAGGGAGGGGGAGAGAGAGAGAAAGAGAGAGAGAGAGAGAGAGAGAGAGAGAGAGAAGAGAGAGAGAGAGAGAGAGAGAATGAATGCAGGATCATTCTCCTAATATGGGTCAGGAAATATATAAAGGCAGAATTCTATGGGAAAACTTGTGCCCATGTTAACCATTACTATGCTGTATAATATCTACATAAGTTTAATTGCTTCTCATTTCCTTTTTCTCCCATCCCCCATCCTACCCCCCAATATTAGAATTCTCCAATTATAGCTTCACAGAAAAGTGTCATTCTGAGACCAAACCATCACAAAGTATCTAGTATCATACTGTTGGTCAACCTTAAGTAGACTGGGAAATACTCTAAATTCCATATTCTCATCTCCTTCAACTATTGATTATGCTCATCCCAAAAGCATAAATTGGAAAATAAAGGCCCATAACTTTATAGGCAAAATTGTATCTGTATGGCATCTATTTGGCATAACACCGACATAAACTTAACTGGCTGACTGAATGTAAACCATTTCTTTCAGACAAGCTGTTAGGCCCACTGACTAAAATACTGGAAGAAGGCATATTCACACCCTGTATTCAAGCTGTTCTGTTCATGAACTACCTGGGCCTCCTTCACCTCCTAAAGCAATAACACCTATCCTTTAAGTCTTTAATAATGTTTCTCTAAGTGCTCCAACCAGGCACTTCTGTTTTTTAAATGAATGGAAAGGGATCAGTAAGGTCCTGTCCATGAAGAAGGCAAGTCTTGCTTAGGAAGGTAGGCCCAGGTGTTATATAAAGGGGGTGGAGGGGAGGGGGATATAAAGCTCCTTTATACAAAATTTTTTAAAAGACCATATAGAATTCCCAAACAGAAAACTGTCAATCAATGAAGATCAGAGTCTGCTATGCACTCTTATTATCCGAGTATACCTCTACAAAAGCTCTACATGGCTTACAAAGTTAGCCATGCTAAAGATCCAAAAAGCATCATAAATCACAAAGCAAAGTAGCCTGACGTTACAGATCATGGATAAAGCACAATGCACAGCTTTCCATAAGGAAAGACAAAGTTGTAAAAAAAGTTTTTTCTATATTTAAGATTTTTCTTTCTACCACCCCTGTTCACTTGGGTACAGGTTAGATAACCTCTGAGGTCCCTTCGAGTTCTGAAAGTCTGTGATGATCTTTTCTTAACCTAAACTACTGGGAAATTTATTGTCTTATACACTCACCTAGCCCTTAATCACATAATGCCTTATATATTAGTTAACTTTTTCAGTGTGTATGTTTAGTTCTCTAAAAACTAAGTTTCTTGAAAACAAACTAAATTCTTTTGAAATCATCTCACTGACACAAAAAGCAGACAAAATTTTTCAAATGAATTTATCTTTCCTAATCCTTTAGTTGTATTATTTCTTTCAGTAGCTTCCATTTCCACCAGTTAAATGGGAATAATATCTATTGAATTGATAATCAACTTAGGAAATTGTGAAATTTTGAAATAAGGGTAGGCATACCCTGTTCTTTGGACACTCTCCAGGAAAGACTGCAATTGGCAATGGGGAATAGGGCTACAGTTATACTGAAAAATCAGCAAGCGAGACCCAGACACAATTTGAAATGTGGATTTATTAGCACACAGCTGCAAGGGGTACACACCCAGATCGAGCAGCCCAGATCAGGGGTAGAGCTTGGGTTTATAAAGGCAGAAGCCACAGAGTAAACGGTCAGGGGTTGTGTAAGTGGGAAGTTACAGAAGCCAAACAAGTGATTGGTTAATCCTGCCTTTGGGACCATATAAGGATCATGAAATAGATTGGGGAGGATATCCCTCTTGGCAGGTTTTCTAAGGCAGGAACTTCTAAGGCGGGAACTACTACTTCCATGAAGGAGGGCATACAAGATGGAGGTCAGAAAACAAAATGGAGTTCGGTACTTGGAGTTCAGTACTTCATTCCCCACTTCTTTTGTGTACCATGTCAAACCCTTGAAGTGACAGGTGCTGCATCATTGTGGGGTGCAAAGGAGGCGGATGCCAGGGGCTGATAGCGGGGATCTAACAAAGTCAAGGAGTCGATTAACTAGACAAGGACCAAAAATTAGGGCTATAGTGAGGAGGAGCAGAGGCCTGGTCAAGGCAGAAATAAGAGTGGTTAACCATGGGGAAGTCCGAAACAGGCTCTGGTACCAATTTTCCCTCCTTTCTCTTTCCCTCTACCTGTCTGCAATATTTTCCGTACCAGGGAAAGGCTCTCCTGAACTACACCTGACTTATTGGCATAGAAACAGCAGGTGTCCCCAAGGGCAGCACAAAGGCCGCCCTACTTGAGCAACAATAAGTCCAGACCCCTCCGGTTCTGCAGAACCATCTCGGCCAAGGAGTTGACCTGTCTCTCCAGTTGGAATATATAGTGCTCCAGATGACTGAAGTCTACGTTGACCTGAGCACTAAGTTCCTGGTAACTGGCCTCTCCTCGGACTAAGGCTGCAGTACCTACAGCTGTTGATCCCACTAGCTGCAACCCTACGAGGATATGGATGAGGAGAGGAACGGCTCGCTTGCTTCGGTAGGAGACACTGCCATCATGGGCGAAGTACTCCCCTCAGGGCCCTGCAGAAGGGAGACCTGGGGGATAATGGAGACTAATATACATAGAGGCTCAGATTCCTTTAGGAACACCGCAGTGGAGACGTACTGTGTAATCCCATCTAGACAGACGAAGTGCCAGATGGCGCTGAATAAAAAGAGGAGGAGGATTCTGGAACATCCACGGTACTATTACAGACAGGAGAGTAAGGAGAAGTTTCCAGGGATGAGGAGGATGAGGTAAGACAGGTACCTTTGCCTTGGATATCCCTGAGGGTCAACTTAGGTTGTTCCCACTGGCAATTCTCCAAGTCTGAGCTATGGGAAACAGAACCATTAACTGCTACTCCCACATAGTATGGAGGCTGTGCATCCATACACAGCCAGCAACTAGGCCCAAGGCCAAGCCAGGTGGAGTTGACAACACCATGGATGGCTCAGAGCAGTCCCATAATAGAGGGGTGAAGGGGGTCAGCCTGAGGGGTCCTAGTAGGAGTCAGAGGATTGGGAAGAATTTTAGGTGGGAGGGCCAATCCTCCTAGAGGACCGATGGGCAAAGGGGACCTCTCAGAGACCTGTTGATACACAGTGAGGAGCACCCCTTCTTCTCCCCCTCCCCGACAGGCATACAAACCCCAGGTCCAGGGTGTGAGCCACTGGGGGGACTGTTGATTAGGGATAACAAGGGTCACATGAGTAGAGTTGGCCATGAGGGTAAAAGATGCTGCTGGGTCAAAGTACTCAGGAGGCTGACATACATTTGACCTTGGACAGAGAAAGGGTTACCGGAGCACGGTGGTTTGGGAACACTGAAGAGGGTGCCAGGGCCGTGGGGGCCAGGCAGGCGGTCAGGCAGAGTGAGGGTATATTCAGGGTTAGCCCCCCTGGATTTGAGGACCCACTTAGGTTCTGGCAAAGGAGCATGGGGATTAGGGTGTCCAATGCGAGGGATTAAAAGAAGGGCAAAAGAAAAAGTTAGGAAGGGGATGATCACGAGAGACGCAACTTGAGGGGATCTGGATCTGGTATTGTTTCCCATTTCTCATGACCGACAGACGAAGCGGCTGCCTTTACTCGTGAATGATGAAGCCAGACAAGGATAGAGTCCACCTTTATGGCTGTTGGAGTGGTCAGGATCACGGTGTAGGGACCTTTCCACTTGGGTTCCAGGCCACAGGCAGTGTACTTCTTGACCAGGACTGGGTCTCTTGGGTTGAAAGCGTGTACAGGCTCAGAGGTAGGGACTGGTAGGGTATCTCGGACAGATTTCAGGAGAGTCCTCTGTGTTTCCTGGAGCCCCTGCAGGAACTTAATTAGGGAAGAATTAGTGACATCCACCCGGAGTTCCTCCCTTATCAAGGGAAGAATTGGCGGGGGGTTTGCCGAATAGAATTTCAAAGGGTGTGAGACCTAGTCTATTGGGGGTACACCAGCTACACCGCAAAGCCAGTAGAAGGAGAGTAACCCAATTCTCCTGGGTTTCTAGGACCAATTTAGTGAGGAATTCCTTGAGGGTTCAGCTGGCTTTTTCTACCTGACCTGAGCTCTGTGGATGGTAGGCACAATGCAATTTCCATTCCACTCCTAAGGCTTTTGTTATTCCTTGAGATACCTTCGCTAAAAATGCTGGGCCTTTGTCAGAACTTAGGCCAATCGGGAGACCGAAGCGTGGGAGGTTGTTCAGGATCTTTTTTACTACTACTATGGCTGTTTCATGTTTTACAGGGAAAGCCTCCACCCACCCTGAAAAAGTATCCACAAAAACCAAAAGATACCTATGGCCTGCTGCTGGGGGTCTTAATTCTGTGAAATCAACTTCCCAATATTCTCCTGGCTGCAAATCTCATAGCCTGATCCCCATGGGGGTAATTTTTCCCTGCTTTGCATTAACTTGTGCACATGTCCAACACCGGGCGGTTGTACTGGCCAGGAGATTGTCCAAGTGTGGGATAAAATACCTGTCTCTCAGCAGTAGGCCCATTTTACATGCCCCTAGATGGGTGATCTGATGTAACCATGTGACCCGTTGTCTTCCCAGTGCTTCTGCGACAAAGACTTGCCCTTCAGGGAGGACCCACCACCCAAGGTTGTTCTTACTCTCCCCCCTTTTTGTTTTGCAAAGGAATCATCCGAGGACGAGTAAGAGGGTGGGGGTGCCTCAAAAACAGGACATAAGGGGGCAACACAAGACTCAGGTAAAACTCCCAGGGCTATCTGTCTCGCAGCCACATGATTTCCCACAGCCTCTAAAGAGTTCCCAGATTGGTGACCAGGGCAGTGAATGATGGACAGCTTAGCTGTTAGGTGCTTCAGGAGCAGGTTTGTCATCATGGTGGTAATTGGCCCTGTCCGTGGGGGGGGGTGAAAAAGGGCTGGGGGGTGATAGAGGAAGGCCAGAGGAGTCGGGTAGTGGGGCAGATAGAGGCAAAGGAGGATACAATCTTGGAGAAGATTGGGGGCCATTCCTATGAGGGCCGGGGTTATAGGGAGGGGGAAAGTCTTCTTCCTGTGATTCTCGAAGAACCTTAGGAGGGTCACTAGAGGAAGAAGTCTTCTGTAGCTGAGCAACCAGCACTCGGATGCCTTTCTGTAAGGAGCAGTGTTTTAAACAGGGAGGGGGGTAAGTTACAAGGGTCAGCCAGACATCAATATATGCAAACTGATCAGGGTGTCTGGGGTTTCCAGTAACAACTTTCCAAACATCGGTCACCACTTGTTTGTCAAAACTACCTTGTGGTGGCCATCCTACCCTGAAGGTCGGCCACTCATATATACAGAACAGAGTAAGTTTCGATTTTTTGAGCGTAATACTGTAATTCGCCCCTTCCTGATATACTTCTTTAAAATGACTCAACATACAACCAAAAGGAGTTTTGGATGTGCTAGCTGAACCCCCCATTATCACAGAACACAGACACAGACAAACAATAAAAGCCTGAACACAAACACATCCTCCCAATGGAAATCGGAGAAACTGCCCTGGAGAAAACTGTCTGAGATCCAGTCTGACACCTGCCTTTCAGTATGAAATAGAGGTGGCTTCAGATAGATGACCCCAAAACAGAACCTCTTAAAAACACAATCTCTACACATATAAACTAATAGACCAACATAACTAAGACAGAAACCAGGAACCAGATACAGGCGTGGTCCTGATGTCTCGGGGTGCCTGGGAGATCGAGGCGTTAAGCGCTACTGCTGTGTCCAGCACTCGTTCTCCACCAGGGAACAGAAATCTGGGTATACTCACCTCCAGAATCCACGGGCTGAAATGAGGTACAGTCAGTCGGGGAGGGAGGCTTTTCCCAGCCCTGAGTTCTGGGGCCCTGGAACATCTCAGGGGCCGGCTCCCCTAAAAGTCAGAACAGAGCAATCCCTCCTTCCCGAGGCTGAAGTCCTCCCCAGGTGGGTCTCTGCAGTGGCACAGTGCACCGCGAATCTCGCTGGGGCCTCCAAAAATGGTGTACCGAAAAATCAGCGAGCAAGACCCAGACACAATTTGAAATGTGGATTTATTAGCACACAGCTGCAAGGGGTACACACCCAGATCGAGCAGCCCAGATCAGGGGTAGAGCTTGGGTTTATAAAGGCAGAAGCCACAGAGTAAACGGTCAGGGGTTGCGTAAGTGGGAAGTTACAGAAGCCAAACAAGCGACTGGCTAATCCTGCCTTTGGGACCATATGAGGATCATGAAATAAATTGGGGCGGATATCCTTCTTGGCAGGTTTTCTAAGGCAGGAACTTCTAAGGCGGGAACTACTACTTCCATGAAAGAGGGCACACAAGATGGAGGTCAGAAAACAAAATGGTGTTCAGGACATGGAGTTCAGTACTTCACCTCAATCACACTTTAATAAAGCACAGAGACAGGTGGTGAAAAGCAGGGAGGGATACAGAGACAGGCAGTGACATGGGAACAGTGGGATGAAACGATGAAGGCAGGCAGCCTGAGGAAAAGGGTGAGAGGCAGAAAATATCACTCATTTAACCATGGACTAGAGTTGGGAGCACTAAGCAGCATGAAGATATAGAGATGGAAGGGAGAGGAAGGAGTCTGAGGTCTCATTTTTATAAGGTTTTGGGGGGAAAGAGACCAACTCCTATACATATCCAAACTATCTCAAAGTCACAGTTAAAACTTCAAAGTCTTCATCGCAAAGTCATCAACACCTTTTTTTTTTAACATTCTGCTGGTCTGAGGTTGTGATGGTCTGGATTATGTCTGGAATTTATTTATCATGGGCAAGAACCCTGACAGCAGCATTTAAAATGGCTTCTGCTGATTCAGCACATATTACCAAGATGTGAATTTTAGTTAACATATAATATAATTAATTTATAAATTACGTTCCTTTGATCTTCAGGATGGTTTGTACTCAACTTCCAGGTTGCCTTTTACAACATCATTTCTAGCTATTGCCCCTTTATACTGGCTACTTATAAACTTACTTTCTATACTGATTAGAAGGGGAAGAAGGAGATGGCCAGGGGGACCTGAATAAGATACAATTTTAACACAATTATAATTCTCAAAGACTTCATTCAATAATATTATGCCTCATGATAAGAAAAAAACCTAGGCACAACTTAATAGTCAAATTGCATCAAAAATGCAATGTTATCACAAGGAAAAAAACACAAGGGGTTATGTATAATGAATAAATACACACTCACTGAGTAACTATTTTAAAAAAACCTGTGTTCCTTTAAGAATTCAGAGGATCTGATGGCAAAAAACTGGAAATTGAGGGGATGCCCATCAATTCAATGGCTGAACAAGTTGTGGTTTATGAATGTGATGGAATACCATTGTGATGGAATACCATTGTGCTATAAGAATGATAGGCAGGCAGACTTCAGAAAAACCTGGGAAGACTTTATGAACTGATGCTGAGTGAAGTGAGCAGAACCAGGAGAACACTGTACAGTTAACAGCCACATTGTGTGATGACTAACTTTGATAGACTTAACCCTTCTAATGAAAAGATCTAAGACATCTCCAAAAGTCTCATGATGGAAAATTGCTATCCACATCCAAAGAAAGAACTACGGAGTTTGAATGCAGAACAAAGCATACTATTTGCTTTTTTTTTTCTTCTGTTTTGTTTTCTCTTTCTTGTGGTTCCTCCTATTGGTTCTAATTCTTCCTTATAACATGACTAACGTGAAAATGTGTTTAATAGGAATGTATATGTAAACCCTATATCAGATTTCGAGACATCTTGGGGAAGGAGGAGGGAATGGAGGGGGAGAAAAATTTTAAACTCAAAAGCTTACAGAAGTGATTGTTGAAAAATCAAAATAAACTAATAAAAAAATTTTTAAATCAGAGGATCATAGGATTTAGGACTTGAAGGGACTTTACATATCACCTGGTACACCCAATTTTATAGATGAGAACAATGAGTCTCAAAGAAATTGACTGAATTACGGACAATCCTACCTAAGCTAATTTACTTATTATTCAGTGCCATACCAAGCAAACTACCAAAAAATTATTTTATAGTTAGAAAAAATAAAGCAGGATTCATTTGGAAGAACAAAGGTCCAGAATATCAAAGGAACTAATGAAAAGAAATGCAGGGGAAGGTAGCCTAGCAATTCCACATCTTAAATTGTATTACAAAGAAATTAAGTGAATTATGAACTAGGAGTCTGACCAATGTTCCCCTCTACCACTTTATGATCTAAGCCACTCTGAGCCTCAGTTTCTTCATCTATAATACCAGCCCTTCATACTTCATAAGGTTATTGTAAGAATTAGTATAGGAGTGTGGAGGAGAATGTTGAAAGAGTTCAGCTGCCAAAATTAGAAGGAAGGCAAGAAAACTGGAGAGGGGGGTGGAGAATTTAAAGCAAGCTCCTCTGATAGAGGTTTCATTTATCAAATGTATAAGGAACTGAGTCAAATTTATAAAAAGATATATGCTCAAAGGTGATGAGTAGGTAGTTTTCAGAAGAAGAAATCAAAATTAGCAATAGTCATATGAAAAAATGCTCTAAATCACTATTGATTAGAGAAATGTAAAACAACTCTATAGCACTCCCTCACAACTATCAGAATGGCTACCACATAGAAAAGAAGAATGATAAATGCTGGAGGAGATGTGGGAAAATAGGTATTCTAATACACCGGTAGTAGAGTTGTAAACTGATCCAACCATTCTGGAGAACAATTTGGAACTATGCCCAAAGGACTATAAAATTCTGCATACACTTTGACTTAGTAACACCCCTAACTAGTTCTATATCCCAAAGAGATCAAAGAAAAAGGACCAATATGGATAAAAATATTTACAGCAACTTTTTATGTATGTGATGTCAAAGAATTGTAATTTGAGGAAATGCCCATCAATTGGGGAATGGCTGAACTAGTTATGGTACATGATTATGACAATATCACTGTGCTATGAGAAATGACAAAGGGGAAGGTTTCAGAAAAACCTGGGAAGACCTATATGAACTGACGAAAAGTGAAGTGGGCAGAACCAGGACATTATAATAAGCAGCAACAGCAATACTGTAATGATGAACAACTGTAAAAGACTTAGCTACTGTAATCAATACAATGATCCAAGACAATTCCAAAGGACTCAGGATGAAAAATACTATCCTCCTCCAGAAAGAACTGTTGAACTCTGAATACAGATTGAAGCATACTTTTTTCACTTTATTTTTCTTGCCTTTTTTTTTTCCACAAGATGGCCATTATGGAAATATTTTGCATGACTTCACATGAATAACTGATATCATATTGTTTGCCTTCTCAATGCGTGGGAGAGGGAACAGACTGAGGGAGAGAATTTGGAAAAGAAATTTAATACTAAAAATATTTTTTTATGAAAGAATTAGTATAGGAGTTCAGAGGGAAATATTATTTAAAAGAAATGGATTTCAACTACAGTATTAGAAAATAATAGGATACAGTAAATATTTATGATAAAGCCAGTAGTATATGAAACCGGAGGCTATTTAAAGGATATATGTCCAACTATCTTCCTTAACCCAACTTTAAGAGATTGCTCTCAGTTTCCTTATTAAAAAAAAAAGTATTTACTGGGCATCTACTATATGGTAATGATATAGCTGAACAGGTAAGACCTAAACACCAGTCATCAGATGCTCAAAGATCAAAAGCAAGAAGAGTCTTCACAGGCTATCTACCCCATTACTTTAAAGATAAAGAAACTGGTGCCCAGAAAAGTTAAGTGACTAGCCCAGTCAAACAAGTCATAAACATCACAGGAAGGGTTTACACCCATGAGGTTCATCTTCCCTTTCCCCGGCTTACACAGTAATTTGTCGCTCTTAGTAATGAATCAAAAATATTAAGTGCCAATTACTGTGAACTTATCATGTTCTATTTTATGCAAGTTATGAACTGTTATGAAGTTTCACATTACAGCTAGTGCTGTGGAAAAGAGGCCAGCCATCCTGACCAAATGTCAACCAACTGCCACACCCAGGACTGGCAAGCCAGCTCAGCTGAAACAGCAAAGCACCCTGAAGGAGAGACAAGAAGAAGCACGGGCCAGGCACATTAAACCATCAGTACCACCTTGACCCCCATCTCTCTTCATACCCTGATGGAGATAGCCCAGAATTTTCAATCCAAGAGCCTAGGAAGTAGCACTGCTTCCAGTTCAGTGTCCTTAGCCATCATCCTGGCAAGCAACCCTGGTGGAGATGCAGCCTGACAATTGCTCCTTCAGATTCTACAGCTACATATACTTAACACCCAGAAAGGAAGTTCTTGCCAACAAAGTCTTTGGCACTATCAAATAGTTCAACAATCAGAAGCTGATATTATCTTATCAGTGGAAGTGACATTAAAGAAGCATTAATATCTGCTATGTCACTGCACCCTAAGGGGCATGGGACTTCCCATCTGACCTGCAGGTGAAACATTCTATGCAGTGTCTCTCCCCCCCCCCAATTAGAATGTGAGCTCCCTGAGAGCAGGGACTGTCTTATTTTTCTATATGTATCCCCAGCACTTGGCATCAGGGAGGGGAGTAAGCATTTATACAGTGGCTACCATGTGTCAGGCACTACGCTAAGCACATAACAAATATCTCATTTGATTCTAACAACATCCCTGCAGATTAGGTGCTGTTATTACTCCCATTTTACAGTTGAGGAAACTGAAGCAAAGAAGTTAAAGGACTTGCCCAGGGTCAGGTAGTGCCTAAGGCCACACATTTGAACTCAAGTTTTCTTGGCTCCAGGCTCTACTGCACCACCTAGATTCCTTCTTTGCACAAATTAAATGCTTAATAAATATGTTATTCATCCCTTCATGTCCTCCGAACTGTAAAGAATCATCATACCTTGTTAATCTTTATATATCCCCTGGTACTTGGCACAGTATAAACATTGGATTGACGGGCAGCTAGGTGGTGCAGTCCACAGAGCACTGGCCCTGGATTCAGGAGGACCTGAGTTCAAATCTAGCCTCAGACACATAACACTTACTAGCTATGTGACCCTGGGCAAGTCACTTAACCCCAATGCCTAGCCAAAAAATAAAATAAAATAAAATAAAATAAAATAAATATTGGACTGAATCAAACAATTTGAGAACAAGATGGCATGTGATCAACTGCAAAATTGTGTAGTACAGAAGATGATATGGCCTCCTCTACCTCCCCACCCCAAACAGGCTTATTCTTCCTGTCATCAGTGACGGCCCTTTCCGAGAAGTACATAACAGGCTCAAGGCCTAAAGCAAAAACCTTCTTCCCTCTCCTTCCTCTGGTGCCTAAAACCCACTTACCTACCTTAACTGGAAGCTGCCTCAATCAAACTGAGACCTGTTAGAGACCCCAGCTTAAAAAGGCCAGAGCTTCCCACTGCATCTGAGGCCATCCCCAGCTGTCCTGATCTATGTTGCCACTGGAGCAGGATGGGAAAGTGAGGCTGGTAACTCTGTACAATCCTCCCTCACTTAAATCCAATTAATTTCTCACGGCATCACCTCCCTGATGTCACGGTCCTCTTCAAGAACTCCTTTATCCAAATCGTTGATGAAAATGTCAAACAGCACAGAAACAAAGGACAATAGGGAGAATGGAAGCTACCTGAGGGCAGGTATTGTTTTATTTTTGTCTTTATCTCCAATTCCGGCACAGAGAAGGAGTTTAGGTGAAGGGCAGTATTTAGCACGGTGCCTAACACATAGCAGGCGCTTAATAAATGTTTCCTGACAGGATAGCAGATCTCAAAGCGCCTTATGAGCCTCTTTCGGGAGGGCGGGGCGTCGATGATTAACGCACTCAGGTTTCTAGTAACAAGGCCCCGCCGCTCAAACCAAACCGCAACACCACCTCGCAGCAAAGCGCTCACCGCTCCTGTGAGCAGAGGAGCCCGAAGACCGCCACCCTCAGCACCGCGCGGGACACGACATCACGGAAGAGCCACTCACCTTCTCACAGCTCCCGCGCTCTCCAACCG